AGGGATCCATGTCACCAACACAAAAACAGGCTCTAGGTGGCTGGACCAAGTCCCTGGAGGCTGAATCTAAGCGGGGCTGCTTTGAGCCGGCTGAGACAGCCGCTGGGGAGCTGGGCCGGCCTGGGCCCAGGACGCTGCAGCAAACCAGGTAAGGGAGTCTTGGTAGGCAGGGCCTCCAGGAGCCTCCTGCCTCACAGCCAATGCAGAGGGCTAGGTTTGGCACGTGTTCACTCTGTTTCAGGGGGCCCCTCAAGGGATGGAGGCAGGGGGCAAGTCCAGTCCCAGAACTGCATGGACTCTCCATGCACAGGGCCCAGGCCTGCCCAGGGCACGGGCACTCTCCTCCAAGCAAGGGCCTTACCTGAATGCACCAGCACCTCAATGTGGAGCAGCAGCAGCAGCACGTGGGAGAGGGCGGCACCGCAGCCGGCCAGGTTCCTGGCGAGCCCCATCTATGCTCTGTTCGGGTCCCCAGTTTCACCAGTGCCCCAGCGCTAGGAGAGAGTCAGATGGTACCTGAGTGCCATGGGGAGGGCGGAGCAGGGATGCCGCTCCTTGAGTGGGCTCTGAGGGAATCCCCCCACTCCTGAACTTGGGTCTGTTGCCTGCCTGGCCAAGCGAGGGGGTGATCACCTAGCTAACACCTGGGGCAGTGAACAGTACAGCGCGTCTGCCCATGCGTTTCTCACACGTCCATCACTGGGGCACGGATGCTAGGGGATGAACTGTTGCTGTGCAGCCCCCACTACACCCTGGAGACCTCTGGGGGCCACCCCGTCACTCAGAGCGAAACCACCCAAACTGCAGGTCTGGGTCTGTCAGCACAGCCCCAGCCAGGCCTCCACCCTAGGAATTACCGGGGGGGAAGTGGAGGGGGAGGTTTCACACCAAACCCCCCACGGCACACGCACTCACCTGTCCCCATGGTGCGCCTTCACGGGGCACATGCGCAGGCAGGCACCTCACACACGCAGTGGGCAGGGCTCGCACACAGGGGGCACACGGGCAGGGCTCGCACACAGGGGGCACACGGGGCACACGGGCAGGGCTCGCACACACGGGGCACACGGGCAGGGCTCGCACACACGGGGCACACGGGGCACACGGGCAGGGCTCGCACACACGGGGCACACGGGCAGGGCTCGCGCACACGGGGCACACGGGCAGGGCTCGCACACAAGGGGCACACGGGACACCTGGCGCAGAGGCGCCGGGGTGGCGCACGGGCTGCAGCCGATGCCCGGGCCCGGGGCCCCCCCAGCTCTGCTGCGAGCGACGCCCCGAGCACGCGGCGGCTGCAGCTCCCGGCTCGCTGCGGGCGGTTACCTGGGGG